CCTTTCCGCCCCCCCAAAAAAGTGGCTGAGCAGCCTCTTTTCACTTGCGCAGGGAGCTGGGGCCCGTCTTACGCTGGGCAGAAACGCGGGGCGTTCTCCCGTGACCATCGGCGTGTATCGTCCTCGCGGTTAAAACGCTGGAAAGACCCGCGGGTTATTTATAAACGCGTTGAGTGACTTTCTGCCTCGAACGAGTCACGGGCCACATAAGCGAGGTGGGAGAAGCAGACAGCCGGCAAACGTGTCCGTCCGCCCCTCCGTGTCCTTCCCAACAGCAGCCACGGAGGCGATCCAGAGAAATTAGCGGTGATTAGTTATTCGGCGCAGGCCTTCGAGATCTTAACGGCGACAGCTTCCCTTTGCAAATTCTCCTTTATAAAAACACACCTAATCCAAGAGGTTACCTGGACAAAGGAGAGGGGAAGATCCTCAGAGCTCGCGCAGGGATGCACCTGAATAGGTGAGGCGGTGCTGCGTCTAGACGGTCGCAACAGCCGGTTTGCGCCTGGATTCCCAACCGGACGAGCGGCCAAGAAACACAGCCCACGTTCCTCCTTATAATCGCCCCCAACTAGTCCTGAAGTCTTGCAACTACTCTTAAAATGCCAAAGCATAGCCCTGGATCCCCCGTTCCTCCCTCTGCGTTAACCAGTCGTTACGCTTGCTTTCATAGCGCAGGATAAACATTTTAATAGTCACAGTAGTAAGGATGAGAGCATACACGAGCAAACACTATTTTGTGATATTCGCCGGCCTGAATCACTGGACCATCTTCTCAAGAGCAGCGCACAAGCAGGGGGACTTGATTTTTGCGGTGTGGCGGTGCCCACGTGAAACCAGAAAGCTCCATGAGGCGGCATTGCTGCAGGGACTGGGGAGCCCCGACTCCGGGCTGTGTCCTTCCCTGCAGCCAGGGAGCGCAACATCGTGAGAGTCAGGGGTAACCTTCAAAGAACACGTTCCCCCAAGTGTCGTTTTGTTTTTTCATGGCTTTGTAAAATGAAAATCCTAAGGACAGGGCTGTGGAAGGTCATGGTTTTCTTGAGATGCAACACGTATGCCACCGGCGTGAATTTAAATGCTGAAATCTTTTTGGCTGGAGGCCCCCCTGTTTATTCAAGATTTTCAGGTGAAGCCAAAGGGCCACCTCATTTTGGTCAAGCCATTTTCATCAGGTTAGAGATTTAAAGAAAAGTAGAGAGAACCTCCATCTGGTAACTGTTTCGATGTTACTAAAGTTATCCTTCAGGGTATTAAAGAGAGAGTCAGGAGGCTCTTCACCTCCACTCCAGCTACTGGCTGGGACAAAACCCCAGGGTCAATCACCGATCTGAGCACAGGCTCTCCAAAACACCAAATCAAAACTTCACACCCAGTTACAGCCAAAGAGGATCCTTCTGGAATCTGGGTTCAGGAGCTCATTTGCTATTTATGTTGTCCAAGGGGGGGGAAAAAACCCCAAAAACCAAAAAAAACAGACAAAGCCGTAATTTGCCTCACATCAGTTTAACAATATCCTACGTGAATACCAGAGGTGGAGTCCACGAACTTAGAACAACTCAGCACAGGACATGAATACGGATAAGAAGAGTATCTATTACCAGCTTATATAAAATTAAAACTAACCCTCAAAACTAACCCTCTGCTATCTCAGTGGCTGCCTGGGAGGAGAAAGCAAGCTCCTTGAGGAAAGGCTGCTTATAACTCACCAGCAGTCACGTTTTTTCATCTTCCTCTAAAATACGGAGCAGCAAATGTGTGGAAGAGAACACTGAACTGGAGAGACCGGGGGTTTCTATGCCGTAACATCAGGAAAGGGAAAGCGGACTACCCCTTTTAAAAACGCTGTCTATCACCACCTAGTGGAAAACACCATTTTAGGTTCCTTGACCTACATATACTTTAATGGTTCATCTTGGGGAGAATCATGACTCGATTGCTGTTCCTCCCCTCCACAGCGTAATGTGAAATTAGAGCTGACAAAAGTTTTTTCTTTGTGTGAACTATTTTTAACACTGAGTGACATACTTCCTAGTCCATCATCAGAGCAAAATCCTCAGTTTTGTCATCTGCAGAATGGAGATAGACTCAGGAAGAGTTTTATGAGGTTTAATTAGCAGAAAGTGCTCTTAATAGCAAATAGGACTTTTGGTCCAAGGATCTCAGACTTGGCCTACTCTGGTCCAAGTACTCAAATTACTGAGGCCTCAGATAGCAATCCAAGAGGAAGATGTATTGCTGTGCTTGCTATACAGAAAGATAAATAGCAGAGGCTGCAAAGTTACAGTTGCCCAATTCAAATAAATCAATAGCAGAAAAGGAGAAGCATTCTGCATAGCTGCAGAATTGTTAGATCCCTGCTGTTAGCATCAACATGCTTTTACCTCTGGTGGCTCCAGGGAAAGGAGACCTTCCTTCATTTATGTATATGCAAAATATTTTGCAAATGGAGACCAGCTTTCAGAATCCAGCAGGGTACAAACAACCCAGAACAGCTTCCTGTGCTTCTCACTAGAAGACCGCTCGCGTCGCAGCACACTAGCCGCACGATCCTCATGCAAACATTGTCAATGAATATGAGGAGTAACAGTATTCAAGGACACTTACAGTAACACTAATTCAACCGGACAGCTCACGCTTTGGATGAATAGCTAATTTTCTTGATGCTGTTATGTCTAGAACCTCAGGGGCAGTACTGAATAGCTGAGATTTAGCTCACCAAGTCAGGAGCAAGGCTTGCATTTGGCACGGGGAGGAGGAGGAGATGTGCTTACTCACTTTGCAGAGTTCATTTCCAGGCCAGGTTTTTGAGCATTATCCTTGCAACTAGCAGGGAGAACACCCTTGTATACCAGGAGGAGCGAGAACAGGAAGGGGACTGGAAAAGTGGATTTATCCTCCCTGCTCTCTTTTCCTGCCAGTTTCTGGCTGCCGACACTGCTAAATTGCTGGAGCCGCATCTCCTCGCTTGGAGATGTTGCGGCAGCAGAAAAGGCAGTGCAAGAGTCCGGGCCTGATAACTCCCAACGCAATTGCTTTGCTGGTGCACACCCGCACCAGTGTTTTGCTTGCAGCTCCCCATCCAATGGGGACCATCTTTTAAAGAGGTGGTCTCCCGGCAGGAGACAAGTTAGGTTTTGCCACCTTGCATCAAACTCCACATGTGGCTGCTGTTCAAAGCTGCAGCGATACACAGCAGCTTCTGCTGACACGTGTGTAGGCAGGACCAGGCCAAAGAGTGACTTATTTCAACTTAATCTGCTTGCAGAAGGGTGTGGACATGGAGTGCTGTAGAAGTCGCATGGGATCCCTTTAGAGGGCTTTTGTAGCACAGAATGAAACATGTTTTCTTAAACCACCTCCACTGGGGGTTCAAAAGAGGGCCCTTTACTCTGCAAAGAATGGACAGCAGCACACCTGTGATTGCTTCCTCATGCATCTCAGCAGAGAGAGGAGCCCTGTCCAACCTTTCATTACTGGAACCCGCTTGCAAGTAATTTAGAAAGAACATCCACAATCTGCTCGGAGAGCAAAGGACAGTCTTGGATTTTGTCATTGCTTTTATCCACCA